ACGGCGTGACACAACCGTCCCATCCCCCCCCCCACCTCCCTCTCTCTCTCGCTTCGCACGCCCTGCGGGTAACACATGACATTTCATTATTTAGTTTTTCGACACTTCTCTCCCCCCGAGGTCAATGGTCTACCGACTACCGCATGCACGACTATAAGTACACCCCAACCCTTCCTCAGGCACCTGGAGCACCCTCGCCGCCACCCTCCACCTCTCTCCGGCATCAGCGAACCTAAGCTCCGGGATGAGCACGCACTTCAACAGGTAGGCCACGTACGGCTGTATGCCCGAAGCCCCTCGGTAGCGCGTCTTCTCTCCGAGAGTGTACGGCAGGTCGTGCTGCACCAATTCCTGTGCGTCCCCAACAAAGACAAAAATATGTTTTACAAAGGGGAGGCGACGCGTTGCATTATTCAGTACTTTATCGTATCGCGTTGGATTATTCAGGATTTTATCGTATCGTATCGTTTCGTATCATATCGTCGCCTGTTGGTCAAGAACGAGACCTTGGAGAGAAACAAGAAGGGCAAAAGGCGCAAAAAACACGTGTAATGCTGTTGTACGGCAAGGGCAACCTACGACAGCAGTGACAAGGCTAAGGAATTAAGGTTAAACAACCAGACGCGGTCGACACAAAAATAAGGATAATCATGCTCGCGGCAACAGCACTACTGTACTCTCAACCTCCCCGCGTGAAGCATACAGTAGATCTTCAATTCTCCAAAGCAAAGTACAACATCTACTAGATACACAGACATCACAGTCCCAACTACTTTGGGGGGGGGGGGGGGGGGGGGGAGGGGAAAAAAAAAATCGGGAAATCTTTAAAAAAAAATTTTTCGGCCTTTCCCCAACAAAGTTCGGGGGGGTTTCCAAAAGAAGGGTTTGGCCCGGAAAAACTTCCAAAGGGAAAAAAATTTCCCCCCTTTTTTATTCAAAAGAAAAAAAAAAAAAAAAACCCAAAAAAAACCTTTTTCCCCAAAATTTAAAAAAAAACCCACCAAAAAAAAAAATTTTTCCCCAAAATTAAAAACAAAACCCACCAAAAAAATTCCTTTTTAAAAACCCAACAAAAAAAAAAAAAATTCTTTTTTTTAAAAATTAAAAAAAAAACCCCCACCCCCAGAGCCGGTGCCCCAAAAACAACAAAAAAAGAAAAAAA